TCTATCTATCTATCTATCTATCTATCTATCTATCTATCTATCTATCTATCTCCATACACCCCATCTATCTATCTATCTATCTATCTATCTATTCTCTGGTCCCACTGGCAGGAACCACATTGGGAATTAGCCACCCAGTTCCATTGCTGGAGCGAGGGGCCACGTCTACACTGCAGCTGGAGGTGTAATCAGGGGCACCATTGAGGTGGGTGGGCAGTTGCCCCCATGCGTTGTGGCACGGGGGGGTCTCCAGTCCACCCATGCTCTGGGAGTGCGCTGGGCAGGGCTCCGGGCAGGGGGTTATAAGCAGCCCTGGAGGCGGGCGGCTGGACGGTGCTGCGAGGTGAGGAAGAGCCACCTCTGGGCCACTGGCTGCTCCCTCCACTCTGCTCAGGGGAGGCAGGAAGCTGTTTCCTCTGTCTCAGACACAGGCTTCAAATCCCTGCCCCCTCAGGTCCAGGGGTGGCCCCCTGTGACTGCTGCCCCTGTCCCCCCTCAGGTCCAGGGGTGGTCCCCATGGCTGCTGCCCCTGTCTCCCCCCTCAGGTCCAGGGGTGGCCCCCTGTGGCTGGTGCCCCTGCCCCCCTCAGGTCTAGGGGTTGTCCCTTGGCCTGCTGCCCCTGTCCCCCCTCAGGTCCAGGGGTGGCCCCCTGGGCTGCTGCCCCTGTCCCCCCTCAGGTCCAGGGGTGGTCCCCTGGGGCTGCTGCCCCTGTCCCCCCTCAGGTCCAGGGGTGGTCCCCTATGGCTGCTGCCCCTGTCCCCCCTCAGGTCCAGGGGTGGCCCCCTGTGGCTGCTGCCCCTGTCCCCCCTCAGGTCCAGGGGTGGTCCCCTGGGGCTGCTGCCCCTGCCACCTCCCAGCTCTGGGGACGGGGCGTTCCTGCTGCTGTAGCTCCTGCCTCTTCTCTTCTCTGGGGAGCCATTGGCACCTCCCTCCCCCCAAGGAGATGCAGGCGTAACAGACCCCAGGGCTGTCCTGGCCTCGGCCTCCCGCTACAGTGCCCAGGGCAGCTCCTCATGAACCTTGGGAAGCAGTGGGGAGACCCGCCGACCCGTGACATCAACCCACCCGTTCTGCCCCACAGCCCAACCCCGATACCCCAGGGAGAGGGGGGAGAAGGAGATGGGGGATGGCCTGTGTCCCCCAGGGCAGTAACCTGGCATCTGCTGCCAGCCGAGCAACAACGCCAACCCAGACCAGACTGGGCCTTGGGGCAGGGCTGGGGTTTGGGTCAAAGGTTCCAGGGACCGGTTGGTTTGAGATTTGGCCACCGATTCAGCACCTGCAGCCCACATGGTCCAGCCCAGCTAGTCTGACTCAGCACTGACCTCCTGGCACCCTGCTTCCGGCCATTGTCCTGTGCTGGGCACGGCGCTGGCACACTTAGACTCATAGACTCATAGACTTTAAGGTCAGAAGGGACCATTATGATCATCTGGTCTGACCCCCTGCATGCTGCAGGCCACAAAACCGTCCCTACCCTTCCCTTGACTCTGCTGTTGAAGTCCCCAAATCCTGTGTTTTAGTGACTTCAATTGGCAGAGAACCCTCCTGCTAGCGATCCCTGCCCCATGCTGCGGAGGAAGGCGAAAAACCTCCAGGGCCTCTGCCAATCTACCCTGGAGGAAACTTGGCATCAGCGTGCTTGGCATCTCGTTTGGTAGCGCCCGGAGTGTCTCCTGGGTTCCTGTCGCTAAGCAACAACATGGGCCATAGCGACAGCTGCCCGCCGCCCCATGCCCCCCGCTCTGGGCATTCTCCAGCTCTCCCTGCCAGGCTCGCAGGACACGCCCCAGGCAGTCTGGGGAGAGGGATGGATCTGATCCACCCAGAGCTGGGGCATCTCCCAGGCAGGAGTTCTGGTCAAAGTTGGCTCCTCTGCCGCACATGGAGAGCTGAGGGCTCTGGCCTGGGCCAGAGCGAGGCTGGGCCTGCACCGCACACGTTCCCCCATGCCACCCTGCCCACGCCACTCAGTCCCAGCCCGGTCGGACCATCAGTTCTGCCGATTCGGTCTGGGTCTGAATTCCCCTCCCCCCAGGGGCCTGTCCCAGCCCAGCCGGCTTCCAGCAGCTCTGGCAGGAGCACGCGTCCAGGCGCCCTTTTGACACCAGCTCTGACTCAGCTGGGTCCCTTCTCGCTGTGAAAACATCACAAGCTCAGCTCATTGTTGGGAACAAAAGGACCCCGTTTGCCTGACGCAGGAGATTCCCCCCGCACCCTTCCCCCCTGAGCCAGGAGCATCTGCTGACCCGGGTGGCTTTTAGGCCTGTCCCTCAATTCTGCCTCCGGCTCTCCCATGCGTGGCAAGTTGGCAACCCCCAGCTGGGAGCCACGGGGGCCACCTGCCCCACCCAGCGACAGCACAAGCACATGCCCAGGCTCTGCCAGGGCTGCTGAGCCGGGCATGGGGCCCCCACCCTGCTTGGATGAAGCCAGAGGAAGGGGAGCACGCGTGGTCCATGCCTGGAGCTGCACCGTCCCTGGCACTGGGGGGGCAGCCAGCCTGGCTGTGTCATGCGTGAAGCTCGAGAATGGGCTGAGACCCAGTGAGTTCGTTACTTCCAAGCACTGTCTCAGAGGGTTTGCGGGACGGGATCAGAACCATGGTCCATCTAGCCCGGTATCCAGTCCCCTGGCTCTGGAACAGGGGCTTGAGCCATCTCGTAGCCCACCTCTTCCCACGCTGTGCCAGGCAATCACCCCGTTCGGGCCTACTCTCCTGCAATCAGCAGCGGCCAGTGTCTGATGGGCCTGGACCTCCCCACTCTGACTCCCTGGCCGCAGACACAATGTTGCACGTGTTGATTCCCTCCTGACCCTTGCATGATGCTCCCGCCCTGAAGCATGAGCTGACTCACTCCCATCTCACCTCAGATACCTGCAGAGAATTCTCCTGCCCTCTTTGAAATCCAGCCACAGCCCTTGGCTCTGCAACTCCTGCAGCAGGGAGTTCCCCAGGTCTGCGTGATGTGAAGGGCAATAGACATGTCTGCCACACAGCCCAGCCAGTGGTAACTCTCTGCTGGGCTTTCTCCTAGGAGGCCCCGTCTCCTCTTGTCCTGGTGCAGGAGAAAGACCCGCCCCCCTCCAACCCGCAGGACCCGCGAGCTGCTAGCCATGTACACCTTGATGGGAGGCGGGCTATTGTGTGCGGTCTCAGGCCTGGTCCTTCTCATCGTTGCCACGGCGACCGACTTCTGGATGCAGTATCGCTACTCGGAGAACTTGAGCAACCAGGGGCTCTGGAGGTTCTGCGTGAGCGGCAAGTGCCACCCCCACACCGTCAGCATTGGTGAGCAGCGTGCAGGGCTGCCCCCCAGCGGGGACAGGGACCAGGAGGGTAATGGCTGCAGGGACAAACAGTCCGGCTCTGGGCCCCGGGAAATGGCCTGGATGGGACCGAACGGGCTGTGGCTTGTAGATGTACAAGTAGGGGCGCCTGACCGGGTCTGGTTCAGCGTGGCTTCTGCCGGCTCGGTCAGGGGTGCCCCGTCTGGCCCAGTCCCAGGGAGAGACGCTGCGATGAGATGGCCTGATTGTTGTGCCCAGTGGCGCAGCAGAGAATCTTCCCCTAGGTTCCCGGCAGAGCCCCTGCCTGGCATCCTGGCTGCTGGTTTGTGTGAGCTCAGCTGCCCTCTTGTGGCTGCAGCCTGCCCCGGCCACCAGCCACGGATGGGTGGAGGTTCCCTGGAGCTCGGAGTGGGGGGGTCCCAGCCCTCACCCGGATGCCAGGCGTGTGCAGTGCAGCTGACACACATCCCGCTGTGGCTGCTTTGATTGACACGAGGGGCCGTCCATAATATGGAGAGGACAAAGTGGGGCTTGATGCCGGCCCCAGCGGCAGCCCCGGAGTCCTGGGCAGCAGGGCTCCACCCGTAGCCCTGGAACGGGCTGAACTGAAAGCCCAGATCTGGCCTCTCCTGATCTCGCCAACTCCAGCCTGGGCTCGGAGTCTGAGCTTCCCCAGCGCCGGCCCGGATCAGAACCGGCCATGGGGGTGGGCTCTGGGCCGGTCGCAGACATACCTCAGTTCCCCTCTCGGGCACAGCCAGTCCGAAGGGAGGCGGAGAGTTTCCATCGGGCCTATAAAAAGCCCTGTGGCTTTGCAGCACTGGCCAGCTACCGAGCTGGCCTGTACCGGGGTAGCGGGACGTTCTGGAGTGGGACATTGAAACCTGGCCTGTCCTTGGGAGGTGGGGACGGGGGCAAGATAAAAAAGCCCCGTGCCTCCCTTCCCAGCTCTTGGTCTCCCCGACTGGGGCTGCCACTGACCCTGGGCAGAGAGAGCTCAGGACCAGGGAGCATTTCCCACTTTAGGGGCTGGTCTGCCAAGGACCTGAGTCTGCTACGGCTGCCGCCTCAGGGCACTGCCTAGGGGGTTTGAGGGTGCGAAGAGCATGGAGGGCCCGACACTGATTCTGCGGGAGGACCCGGGATGGCAGCTGGCACCCAAGGCAGGGGAGGCCAATCCGCATCTCATGGAAATCTCCTGGGGCTTGGCCTGGCCGCAGGCTCCGTCACAGGAGCGCCACCAGCGGGAGAGCGGAGCGACACTGCTGACGCCCCTGGGGTTACACGGGTGTAACCCAATAGAGAATCTGGCTGAGTCTGAATCCAGATCAAAGCGGGACGGGGGTAACTGGGAGCGACCAGCAGCAAGGAATCCCCCGGGTCTGCGAGGCCCGAGAACCCCTAGGATGGAGCAGTGGGGTGGAAGCTGCTGCTGCTTCTCAATGTGTTTCGCTTGCTGCCTTGGGGATCCTCGCACATAGCCTTGTACCCTGCCCCTCGGGAAATCCTCGCTGGGACCCCCAACTCCCTGCCCTTTGGGGAGCCCTCGCTGGGATCCCCAACTCCCTGCCCCTCGGGAAATCCTCGCTGGGACCCCCAACTCCCTGCCCTTTGGGGAGCCCTCGCTGGGATCCCCAACTCCCTGCCCCTCGGGAAATCCTCGCTGGGACCCCCAACTCTCTGCCCTTTGGGGAGCCCTTGCTGGGATCCCCAACTCCCTGCCCCTCGGGGAGCCGTCGCTTGGATCCCCAACTCCCTGCCCCTCGGGAAATCCTCGCTGGGATCCCCAACTCCCTGCCCCTCAGGGAGCCCTCGCTTGGATCCCCAACTCCCTGCCCTTTGGGGAGCCCTCACTGGGACCCCCAATTCCCTGCCCCTCGGGAAACCCTCGCTGGGACCTCCAATTCCCTGCCCCTCGGAAAACCCTTACTGGGACCCCCAACTCCCTGCCCTTTGGGGAGCCCTCGCTGGGACCCCCCAACTCCCTGCCCCTCAGGAAACCCTCACTGGGACCCCCAACTCCCTGCCCTTTGGGGAGCCCACGCTGGGGTCCCCCATTCTCAGCCCTCTTCCCAGCTGTCAGGTATCCACAGGGTCGGTGCTACTCCCCCAGTTTTGGAACAGTCTCTAGGAGGAACCCTTCAGTGGGCCAGACCCCCGAGGCTCTTCCTCCAGGTAAGCCAAGCAGCCTCACCCCGCTGAGACTGAACCTCTGGGGCTCCAGCCCTCCTGCTTCACCCCATGAGCTCTGCTCAGCGAGTCCAGCTGAGACGGCCCCTGAGAGAGACGTGATTAACGCACCTCGCCCAGCACTTGCAGTGACACTCACCCAGCGCTGTCAAAGCTGTCGGGTTTCTGGGTCAGCTGGAACCCAGCACAGGAAGGTCCCCAGAGAGTTAAGCACAGACCAGTCTGGTCAGCCCAGAGCCCAGCGGAGATGTAGTGACCCCCATGGTCAGGCTCTGTCTGTCTCTGTCTGACCCCCTTGGGCAGTTCCCAGGTGGGAGCCCTGACTCCTTCCAGCAGCCAGCTCTGACCCCCCACCTCACACCGCTCCAGTCCTTTGTTCTCAAGGGGGAGGGTGTGGCTCAGCCTCCCTGATACCCCACAAATGTTCCCCGCCCCATGGTCGCTGTCCTACCTGGTGCTGCCCAGGTTCTCGCAGCCCCTCTGCTACTCAGGCAAACACCCAGTTTCCAATAGGTAGCTCAGAGCAGTTTCACGCCCTCCCTTAGGGCTGGGCTGGTAGATGTCACTAGCAAGGGGCACATGAGGGGTTTTCAGGCAGCCCCATGTCCTTTTGCCACCCCAGGCTCTTAGGGTTTGAAACTGTGCTGGGGTCCTGCACCCCCTCCTCTGCCAGGGAGTGAGAAGGGCAGGGAACCCTCATTCCTCCAGGTGTCGGCCATCTGGGCTGCCGCCTGGGGTGTCCTGACCCCTAGGTTGGAGTTGGGAGTGACCCCTTGAGCATTTGGTCTTAACCCAGGATCCTTCCTGTGTCTGCACAGGGCTCTGAGCCATAGGTGGGGCAAATGGCCCCCAATGGGAACCTTAACCCAGGTGGCGCAGCATCCAACGGCCTTTGACCCCACATGGTTTGACCAAGGTTCTCTCTGTCCCAGAATCTCTCCACCCCACAAACGTCTCCCCACTGACTACCACCTCCCACTCCCAAAGGGGCTCAGATGTGTCTGAGCCCAGGAGCGTACAACAGGACATGTGCACCGGTGCCAGGAGCGGGAGCCTGTCTGCCAGGCCCCCTGTGCCCTCGAGGGGCTGGCTGGGTGACTGCTTTCCTCCGAAGGTTCAGTCTCTGAGCCTGAGCTACAGGCAGCCTTGGCTGGACAGAGGACGAGTTAGCCCCTCGGGGTTCACCAAGTGAACCCTCCGAGGGTCCCGTCTGGCCCCTATTTCGTCAAGCCTTGGGCATTCTGCCCACTTATACCCTGTTTTCCTACAAACATTACACCACTGAGGTCCCTTGGCTGCTCCCCCCACTCTGGGTTTCCCTGAGTCCCACTTCTGCCTTCACTGGTTCCTTTCTCCAGAACCCATACTTAGGCCAATCCCCTTTGGACCTACTGTCCAAAACTCAGCCGCCAACTGGCCTCCGCTACACAGATCCTTCGGCTTCCCGTCCACTAGCTACATTTCCAGCTCGTGGGGACAGATCTCACTGAGTAGCTCCAACCCAATCAGGTTACACAAATCTTCCAGCGTAGCGACACCTGCAGGCTTTCATATAGGGTGACACCTTGGGTCTTTTGCACACCCCAAAACCTTTTCCTATAAGCCTCAGGTGCCGAATCAAATCTAAGCAGTAGAGCCTTTGTGAACTGTTCGTAGTCCCCAGTATCAACGCCGTCCCTCTGGCTGTACACCTCTCTGGAATTGGGACCGAGTAAGGGGGTGAGACAGCAGAGCCGGTTCACAGGGCCAACAGGTTCAAATCACAAGCCTTCTCAAAGTCAGTGAGGTAGTCGTCTATACCCCCCTCCCTTAAACTGGGGCAACAATTTGGTATCTAGGTTCCTTGCGGGATTAGAATCTCAGTGTCTTTCCCCACTTATCCCACAGTGGGTCCTCTTACCCCTCCTCTTCTCCATCTCCAGTTCATGGTTCTGCTAGGTCCTTCGCCCTCATGGTTCTGCTAGGTCCTTCATCCTCCAGCTTCTCCTGGTCTGCTAGGTCCTTTGCCGTCAGCTCCCACTTCCACCGCTTCAAATCTGTCGATGGGGAGCTGCGCTGGGCAGGGAACTGGGTCGTGAGGACACCCTACTGCTGCCTCGGTCACTCTTGGACCCTCTTGGAACTCTACTTAGGTCTGGAACCTGCTTCTTGATCTAATTATCTTTCTGTAGCCGTGCAATCAGCTGCGCCTTGTTGAGCTTCCTAGCACTTTACCCTCTCTCCCTGCACAGGTTTGCGATGTCCTTCTTAGGGAGGTGGTTATACACCATTTTCTTGCTGTTTCCTTTAAGTACCCTTGTTTTACTGCTGCAAGGCACTTATTGCAAAATATACTACTGGTGCATTCAGCACCCCACCTCTGCCACCAGCTGTCACGGCTCCACAGGATCGGTGCTACACCTGCAGCTTTGGAACTGTCTCTAGGCGGAAGCCCTTCAGTGGGTCAGACCCCAAGGGGGCCTCACTCTTTCTACACAGGGTAAGGCCCGCAGCCTCCCCGCCTCTGGGGCTCCAGCCCCCCGCTTCACACCATGCAGTCTGCTCAGCGAGTCCAACTGAGACAGACCCCTGGGAGAGACGTGTCCATTCCGCAGGGATTAATGCACCTCACCAAGGTGCCATTTGCAGTGACACTCACCCAGCGCTCTCAAAGCAGTCGAGTTTATGGGTCACACAGAACCCAGCACAGGAAGGCCTTAGGCCAGCCCAGAGAACTGACGGTTAAAGCACAGACCAGTCTGATCAGCTCAGAGCCAGGCTGTATTGAGCCCCATGGTCAGGCTCTATCTGACCCCCTTGGGCAGTTCCCAGGAGAGAGCCCCCCACTCCTTCCAGCAGCCAATTCTCATCCCCCCACCTCACACTGCTCCAGTCCTTTGTTCTCGAGCGGGGGTCTGTGCTCAGCTTCCCTGCAGCGGGGCAGGGAAATCCATCTCTCTGGGGCATGGATGGGTGTGGATGTCCCAGTGACTGGGTGTGGATGTCCCGGTGACTGGGTTTTCCACAGTCTTCTGAGATTCTCCAGCAATACAGGGCGTGGCCTTGGCCAGTCCCTTTTAATGACCCGTTGAGGCTCAGACAGCCAGGTGCCATTCACACCCATGTCTCTTCGCCTGCCCTGAGAGCAAACAGCCCTTTCCCACCTAGCTAGGTAACAATGAAACATATGAGGAAACTGAGGCACACATAGGGGTCATAAAAATATTACAGAAAATTCCCACTTTGTCACACATACCCCTTGGGGAGCTCTCATTGGGATCCCCCACTCACCGTCCCTTTCCCTTCCCCTTGGGGAGCCCTCGCTGGGATCCTCCACTGCCAGCCCCTTACCCTGCCCCTCGGGGGGCCAGCGCTGGGCCCACATTGCATCCTAGTTCCCGTGAAAGCCTTGTCTCTCTTGGAGGCTGCATCACTGTGATTCTTTATTTTCAGGAGCGACTCTCCGGGTCGTATCTAGGATGCAGCTCATGCAAAATGCAGCCACTCACATCCTGCCAGGTACCCGGCCATCCCGGCTCCGCTCTGCTCCTTCTGCTGGCTCCTTCCTAAGCTTTACATTGACTCGTCCGGTTCCTCCGCTCCTCATCCGGGGCCCTGATTGTCTGTGGGCTGCTTCTTCCCACCCCCGCTGTCTTCGTGCCCTCACAATCCCAGGGCCCTCAGGTGCCCGCCTGGCTCCCCGCAGAGACTTTGCTCAGGGAAAACTCCCATTGGCTTCATGGGGTTCAGCTCAGGGCCCATGCTGGGGTGTGGGCGAGGGGGATTCGGGGGCAGATTCTCATTGATTAGCACCGGCATGCAGGGCTGGCCTGCCAGTCGGGCCTCAGGGCAGGGGAGAGCTGCTTGGAAAGTCTGGCCCCAGTCTGGGGAGTCTGAGCCCTCCTGAATGCCAGCCCTAGCATCCGTACAAGCTGCCCCCAAACTGCTGGCCCCCTCGGCTCCGGGAGACCCCGCCCCCAAACAAGGTGGGGTTGGGGGGGGCAGTCCAGGTGACCAACTCCCCTGGGGTTGATGATCTCATTATTACAGCCCTACCTGCCTCCCCCAACCCAGCTGCAAAGAAAGACGTGGCTCTAGGGTGCAGCCTTGGAGGGGGAAGGTAAGGGGCAGATAGGGGGCAGCAGCTCACCCCAGGGAAAGGGATTGCATGGGGATTGGCTCGCGGGGAGGGGAGGGGCAGCTCAGGCCCCCAGACCCAGCGTCTCTCTCTTCTGCGTCGGTCCTGCTCAGCACACACCCTCTGCGCAGCGACAGACGCTGCTAAGCGCTGGAGGTGCTGGCACTGCCGTTCGCCGGCTCCTCCGGCCGTTCCTCCCCTGCCCCTCAGACGAGATCCGGCTCCCGGCTCCCCTTGCCGATCTCTGGGTCCCATCGAGTGCTCCTCTCTCTCTCTCTCTGTCCCCTCCCTGCAGCCTTCTGGGACGCCACCCGGGCATTCATGCTGCTCTCCATCCTCTCCTGCTTCGCGGGCATCATCCTGGGCCTCACCGCCTTCTCCAGCAACTCCAGGGCATCCCGGACCCGCTCCGCTGGCATCACCCTGCTGATCGCTGGTACGTGGGCACCATGGGGCGAGGCGGCCACCACAGGGCAGGGTGGGCACTACAGGGTGGGAGCAACAGGCAAGGGAGAAATGCTTATGAGATGATAACTGGGCATCCCGTTACAAATTGCCCAGGGGTCCCCTCTGCCATCCGTATGCAGCCACCTCTGGGGTGAAACATCAGACCCTGCTTAGCACCTGGTGAGGGGCCAGCAGGGAGGGGCAGAGCCAGAAAAGTAGCCAATAGGAAGGAGAGGGTATGGCTCCTCCTACCCTACTGCCCCCCCGCTCTCTGCCACACCCCTGTCATCTGGCCAGCGGGCACCACCTGCCTGGACTCAGCAGGCGGCATGCAAGGCTGGCATGTGAGAGCTGTGAGTCTCACCGCGGCAGGTGGAACCGCTCGTCTGCAGGGACTAGGTGTCACCCGCTTGGGCTCCCTGGGCATCTGGCTCAGCTGGCAAAGGAAACTCCAGCTGCGCCCGTAGCGGGTGGCACTGGGACCCCAGCACTGCCCACGTCGGCCACACACTGTCCCCACTTTAATAACAGACCAAATCCTCCGAGCCAAGCAGGCTGGGACCTTAGGGTTCCCGGCTAGACCCCTCTGAGCTCTCCTGTTCACTCTGGCTAGCGCCAACCGCCAGACCCCGCCAGCAGGAGGCTGGGCACAACCGCACCACGCTGGGTGGCCTGGGGCTCCTGCCCTCTCCCCTCTGAGCCTCACCTGGCTAGATGGAGGCTGCTGAGGGCTGAAAAGGAGCTCAGAGCTGGCCAAGCCGCAGCTGGCATTTCCTGGCTGTGTCCCCAGGCCGGGGGGCATCTGGTGATGGGGGGTTTTCTCCAAGCCCTTCCTGGCTGGGCCCCACCCTGAGCTGAGAGCTCCCCAGCCCTGCAGGCCACGAGGGAGTCAGGTCTGCCCCACCCCAGCCCACCCCGTTCTGTGCCACGCGACCAGCAGAGAGCCAAGGAGGCTGGTCTAGGCTGCGAAGAGCTCCAGCGGGCTCTACACCAGCTAGGGGACGGGGCAGCGCCCGGCGGGCGAGCGTCAGGACTGGCAGCACCCCCCGGAGGGGAGAGCTTGAACGACTCCTCCCGCCAGCTGGATTCTGGCGCCGCTCTGGAAAGGGGCCGGGGTGTCACTGGGGGCAGCTCAGCCTGCCGCAGCCGACAGGAAGACGGCCAGGCCGGGAAGGAGAAGCACCCGCAAAGCTAGCCTGGGCCTGGTTATAGCTGGGCGGTTCGCCTGCCCCGAATAACTCCTGGCATGGATCTAGTGCGCAAGTCCCCGTTGCTGGGCTGGCAAAAGGCAGGGCTGATCCGGCACTGTTCCCGGGGATGCCGCAGGGGCAGCTGGGGGCAAAGCATCTCCAGCATGGGGGAGGGGAGTAGATTAGCCACAGCTGTCCCGCGTGTGGCTCTGACACCTTTCTCTGGCGCACCTGGCGCTGCCCTCGGTCCGAGGCTGGGCCGGAAGGACCGGTCTGAGCATCCCTCTGTGGTTAGTGCTGGAAGGAGGGCAGGATGCAGCTGCGCTGGAAGGAAAGACCCATCTCCGGGTTTGCTGCAGGCGCCAGGACTCAGGCCAGGAAAACACTCCCAGTCGAGTGCAGCAGAGGGAGCCCCAGAGTTGCCTGGCCGGCTCTGTGCTGGCCCGTTCCTGGCAGCCCCCAGGCCCTGCGGGATGGGGCGTGGCTCCCCCTGGCAGGGGTGATGGCAATGGTGGCCACTGGCACACGGGCCGGGTGGCACAGCTGGAGGAACTGAGGGTGGTGGGGACAAGGGTGGCAGAGTTGGGTGAGTGCACAGGTCATGGCTGCCCCCGGGGAAGCTGTTTGGGACAGTGTCCGGGCTGGGTCAGGGCGGGCAGGGCTGGGAGAATAGCTCAGAGTAGCCCCATGGCCCCAGCGAGGGGACAGACCTGGGATAAGGGCAGGAGCTCTCTCCTGTACAACTCCTAACACGCTGCTAGGAAGGGTTTCGCTGAGTCTTTAGGTATGGGGCTGGCTCTGGGAGAGGGGGGGGGAGCGGGGGTCCCATCAGGTCAGTGATTGGCCTGGCCTTCCAGCAGCACAGGACAAGGCAGGGGGCCACTCACAGACCCTGGGAGATGGAGGGAGGAAAACTTCTCCCCCTAACCAATCGTGCTCAGTAAAACTGACACAAGGTGGTACTGAGCCATGCCGGGTCCCTGCCTTGTGGTACCGCGCTGGGCCGGGGCCCTGCATTGTGGTGTCAAGCTGTGCCAGGTCCCTGCATTGCGGTGCCGAGCCGGGCCAGGTCCCTGTATTGCGGTGCCGAGCCGGGCCGGGTCCCTGCATTGTGGTGCTGAGCCGTGCCGTGCTGCATCCCTGCATTGCAGTGCCAAGCCGTGCCAGGTCCCTGCATTGCAGTGCCGAGCCGGGCCAGGTCCCTGCATTGCGGTGCTGAGCCGGGCCGGGTCCCTGTATTGTGGTGCCGAGCCGGGCCAGGTCCCTGCATTGTGGTGCTGAGCCAGGCCGGGTCCCTGTATTGTGGTGCCGAGCCGGGCCA